CTGTATATCGTATATAAACATATATATTATTCATACCTTCGGTGTATAGGACACAAGCAGATTTTGACATCAAATTTTGGGGTAAAAAAGTGCGTCTTATACACCAAAAAATACGGTAAATATATAATCCTCCGACTAGTTTTTTTAAATTGTCGAAGCTCGTTTTCCGGAAAAACGCTATCGATGCTAGCGAAACACATAGAATCAAAGTCACTGTTATAATTGTTATCATACATTTAATCAATAATAATAATTAATATATTACGAACATGGTTGTTATTATATGTCCAAACTATATCTTTCTTTTTATTTTCAGTGAAGATAAAGCTTCGTTGATCACCTTGTTTTGTCAGGACTAGTCCGTCACCATGGTGAAGACTTATCACGTGACGCCTTATTCGTACTGAAGAAAACGTGAACTAACGCACAGTCGCTTTCTTGCATCATATCAGGTCATGAGGTAGATGGCATACATGAAACTTTATAGATAGCACACATCCCTTCACCATAACTTGGCAATTAGCTACAGTTTGTAATTTAGTGTTTCTGTCTACGCTAATACACAACATTAAACTACATGACTTTTGCTTTAGGTATACAGAGTTTACAGTCAAATACAATTGATTTAAAATTAAATAATACTTTGAAATATTTAAATTTCTAAATTATTAATAATCAGGTCATTACGAATACAACTATGTGGAAAATAACACAAATCTGCTCACAATACGCTCTATCCGTGCTGTCATATTACTTATACTTTAAAGTAAATCTTGCACCAGGTTCGTTTTTTCAGCTTAAGACAGTTGTATAATTAGTTCACCTTGACTGAGATCAGACCGGAATAAACGAACTACAACCCCACATTGCTTCAAGGTCAGTCGTGTTTTCTCTTCTAAAGTATATTTAGAGGTCTCACTGTAAGCCATTGTTTCAAGTAACTCAACTGTGGCACAACAGAGAACATAAGAATTGTTATTATCCTATACGTATACCACACATTTTCCTCATGCCATTCATTTCAATGTCTTTAGAATTAACGGCTGTGTTTCTGTTATATTTAACGGATATGTTTAATGAATAGTTAAGTTTCACCGATAATTTAAAGCATCACTTCAACTGGTGGGTACAATCTTATTCCAACAATAGGTATTACAATGTTACTAATAAAACATATCCTAAAATTCACACTTATACTGCAGCTAACGCCTTACACCTCTTACTTTTTTTCGTTCGATCTTAACCACGATTAAAGTTTTTGTGACCTTCCAAGAAAATTCATAAAGCATTCTCAACTGATCTAAAATCCTGGAACTGTTCGTCGTTTTCGTTGCCAAATGTTTAAAACGTAAATGTATGATATTTATATGTCAATTATTTCCGTAGACACCGAATCGGCAAAAATAACTTGATATTGTTTACGTCTAGTAAAATCCACATACTTTAGAACACTGTTCGAAGAATAAATCAGTCTCTCTTTTCTAACCTAACAATAAATACTTTTTGATATCTTACAGGGTTAGAAATTTCTTTTATAAAAATGTTAATTATTGTCGTCACAACAACGTTACTGGCAAACGACAATCTGATTTCAAAGGATTAAAAGTTAGTCAACACGCAGGCTATCTATTGGAGATTAGTAAAAACTATTTACACCAGTTCTTATATTAAGTTACATATTTTGAATTTCATAGCACTATTTTCTGACGTAGTGATAGTGTCTCCAGCTCTGGCTAAATTCCAATTACTATATCAGGGGCAAATACATTCCAAATACCTTAATAATTTAGATATGATTTGTTGAAAAAACTTTTATAGGTTCAACTTCACAAGACAACTAATTTATTTTCAGTTTACTTCAGTTATTTCATAATGAATTCAAACATATTTTGCACTATATAAGCATACATTATTATAAAAATAAAGTTAACAAAAGTGATACTCCTTAGACTATATTAATGAGATTATTTTATAGTATCATAAATCGCTGGCCTGTCCATCTATTCAAGCACTCTAGAATCATTGTTTATATAGGATTATATATTATTTTGCCAATTTAAAAAAAAAAGATATAATGTGACTGTGGCATATACATAAAGTTCATAAATATAATCTGAGCAGTAATACATTTTTCACTACAGGAAATGTGACTGGTCTTTAGTACACTGTTTGTGTACTTTGCTCACTTAGTAGTACATGGTTTGTGCATTTTGTACATTTAATGGTACACAGTTCACATATTTTGAAAATTTATTAACACATTATTTGGTACTTTGGACATATTACAAATTAAACAATCAACAATATTATATCAATTTGGAAGAAACCTTCAACTGTCAACATTTCAAGTGAAAGGAGAGTTTATTAGAATTTCATGTACTGACAATTTGATAACATCTGTTACTTTAACAACTACATATTTCAGTCTTAATACAAGTTAAGCACTTTGTTTAAACCAAGCTTTTTATTTTATATTATGGCTATACTAACCACACCAGAAACAAATGTATGTCCACTGGAGCCTATTTCACCCTACTAATGAAAGGCCAAACAGTTCCAGAAATTATCATTAAGCTTAGTGGAAAGGTTAATTGTCAAAAATATAATAATACAAAATTACCATATTTTAAAACACATATTTATGCTTCCTAGATTACAGTCTCTAACCTTTAACTTATCCAACCTGGTTGATAGGAAGCATCATAAAAAAATACACTCAAAATTCCACAAGCACATAACACCTGAGTAGAGTCTACCTTATATGGTAGCTAATTATCTGTTAGAAATGAAAATTTGTGTCAGTGGCTCTACAAAAATAACATTTTTTACATAAATATCTCCATCAAAAGAAACTTCTATGATTACATGATACTAAACAGATACTCAAACCACTTGTGACTATAGTTGATCTATGTGCAAATTCCAGTTAGTTATTTATAAAGTTAAGTACTTCTGTTTGTATACAACCCTACAAATACTACACTTTCTGTACAAAAAAAAAGGGGGGGGTGCAGGTGCTTATATGGAATATTAATTTTAACATGGACTTATATAAATAAAATAAGAAGGCTGGGAGACCTTTAACATTACAAAAAAACCCCATCACATTACAAATAACCAGTAAGAAAAAGTTGTTCATGGCAAACAGTCGCAAGTTTGAATTTAAATGACTATTAAAATCTGCCACATATTAAAATAGATTAGAATTCTGAGCCTCAACTCTTAAAATTTAGAACAAACGTGTCACTTTCATCAAAATTAATTTCAACATAATTTCATAATCATTAGAAATATTACAGTAAATTTTAAAGAAGTCTACATAAAATCTTGTTCTCCAATATACACCAAAAGCTAAACTTTGGACCGAGGTTGAGTGCTTATTATCATATCATCTTATCTGCACTTTTTTTTTTTGGTCAACTTATCCAGTGCATAGTTATCATTTATGATTGTGCTTTTATTGGTAGTAAACTACAGATAACTTACATAATCATGAAAAGCTTTTGCTTCACTTGAATGTTCACAGGTGTCTCTTCTTTCTGGTGCTGCACAGTACAAATCCCAAAATACACTAAAAAAATTATTATGAATAAAATGAAGGAAAATACCAGTAATAATATAAAATATCATTAAAAAAAAATAAATACATCCAAATTCCACATTTCTAAAACTGTATGGTAAATAACTTATACACAGTTTTGCAAAAGCATAAATTCTCAATTTGTAAATAAAAAAGCTAAACTTACACATGCTATTAAAGAATTGTTGTCTTATTATTCTTTTATTAAATCTGTTATTGAATATAGGAATGTAATAAAATAGTACATTAACATTCCACAGTTTTGTTAAAAATAAAATAATGGGTCTGTGGAAAATAACATCACAAAACTGTCAGTAGCTATATACTACTAGCTTTGTTTTGTCAAACCATTCCTTACTTGTCCTTCACGAGACCATATAGGTTCAGCTGTCTTGAAGCAGAAATTAATGTACACACCTGCCTGGCCCGCAGAGGCATTTCTGTAACGTTTAGAAAAGCTCCCTTCATATCAGAGTAATCACAAGACTATGGCAAACAGCAACCACATAAATCAAAGCTCTCTGCATTATTTTCAGGTGAACAGAGAAGACAGTAATAGAAGTCAAACAACTATCGGCTCTCCTACTAAGTTGTCAAGCAACACATCGCCTCATTTCACTATATGTAAGGAAAACAACATTTGAGCACAGTCTTGTTGTCTTTATCAGCAAAGATGGATGCCTGCAGCAATATTGATGTACAACTTTAGATCTCGATTAACTCTGTGTTGTCCCAAAGCCTTTACCTAATTCTGTCATCAATACATTTACATTTATGTAAGTCAAAAAAAAAGGATTGTGTCCCATTGTATAAGAATTTAAGGCATGATTTCAACATGAATAATGATTTGTTTGTGACCAGATACCTCAAAGTTATTAATCCTTTGGGTCAATTTATGGACATCATGATCATTTAAAATTTAGCCTTCAACTCCATAGAGCTGCTGGTAATCAGAAAAGCACATACTATCACACAACACTAATGAGGCTTTTCAACACTGGACATACAGCAAATATTATTATACTATCTTACAGATCAATTACACTATAAACACTATTCTGCTGGCTCTGTGTTAAAAAAATCTGTAGTACACAATTAATGTTATTGTAGTTATTAATATTTGGGATTCATTTATAATTACTGTTGTATCCCTTTCATGTTTTTAACAAGACAGTTAAAAAGCTTAATCTGAGGGACCATGGACATTATATCAATTTTTCTACTTGCTGTGTTATAAAAAAAATAATCTGCTTTTATATCTTGTTTTCATATCTGTAATAATTTATATTCTTCTTGAAGTTTAAAATCCAAATAAGCATTACAATTCCTTGCATGTCTGATGGTAAATAAAATATCCTGTGGGCTAATGAGAACCACTTCACCCTGAACTAGATCATCAATACAAAGAAATACATGATCTGCTATGATGAGAATTACTATGTAATGCTTCAATAGCCCCTACAGAAAAGTAACTGTATGCTGTAGATTGATAACAGGCTATCTCTTCAGTACATACTTCTTTATGGAATTTACCACATTGTCCCAAGACCTGTACAGTGAATAATAAGCACTACCATAGCCTGTTTGCTTACACAATGATACCCCTATTGAAGCAATATTACATGATCAATCCTACAGTATGTATGGCAAGATGATGTCTTTTGCCGAATAAGCCAACAGATTAAAACAATATTGCAGATTGCAGACACACATTGACAAAAACAGGGTAATTTTTCACTACTTTTCATGTACGTGGACACCACATTCCTTGGACTTTACACTGGCAGATTTCTGGCTATGGGGTTATCTACAGACAGGTGTGACTAAAAAAGTCATGTACCATATATAATCTGAAGAATGCTTTCATAAGAAAACTTGCCAGTATACAGATTGAAGTTAAAATGGTGGCATAAATGTTCATGGTTAGATGTATATCTGATGTTTGGGATGTCACAAACATTTAACATGCACCATCCTATATCATATAATTTAAGACACTAAAGCAATCTTATGTGAGATACTTTCTTTATAATAACATTGCAAATAGATAAAACTTTTGGTAAAATACTTTTCTATGTCTTGACTTATTCTTCAGCTGGTGTATTTAAGAAATGAAATATGCAGTACTTAATACAACAATTTGAATCACAATCATTAAATATTTTAATTAATAAACATATCCTGAACTTACACAAAAATGCATAAAATTATTATTTAGAAATACCAGAGTAGTGATTTAAAAAATTTTAAACAAACAGTTTTTGCAGAGCAAAAAGTGGATTCAAGAATGCCAGAATTTAGATTTTCATAGCTATGTTCTAATGTATCACTGCATTCTGTGGCTATTACAGTTACAGTTGATTTGTTTTTACTATAACCATATTCTCAATATGATTTGGTTAAAATTTTAGCAATTGTGGTTATAAAAAAATAATAATTTCTTTTGTACACCAAAGATATTATTGATACACATATCTACTGTGGACTAATCTATATTTCTGTTCTGCACACTTTTTTGAGGGAATACAGAGCTGTTATTATTACTTAAAGTAAAAGGTCTTTTCAGCATTTTTAGGACTGCTGTGTCTTGTTTTTGAAGCAGTATTAAAGTTAAAAAATTTGTTTTAAAATAAATTTATATAGTTCTTTTCTATATTTCCCATACACATGATACAAGAAATTCAAACAGAAACATGACTACAAACTATGTTTGTAGGATTGTATTTAAATGCAAGTTAGTGATAAAGTTATTAAATATATATAAATATAGAAGTTGTTTTGCAAAAAGTAGCCAGGGAATATATGCATATTTTTATCTTAGGGGAATCTCTGGCTCCAGGGGTATTTTGACAGCGCTGGGAATATAGCAGACTCTTTAATATTTTACAAAACCGAATATGTCACATAATTTGTAACTAACATCAGGATTTGGATGGTTCATGTGTTACTGTCTCAAGGATACTTATGCACAATTTTTATTTGGGAATGAAAGAAAGATTATGCTGGGGCATAAATAAAATGAAAATGTTCCTTAAAATTCGTGAAAATGTATAATTAAAAGGCCTTGATGTGGTCCAGTAGTTTGCATGTCTGACTGTGAATCTGAAGGTCTAATGGTTTGTGTTCCATCGCCACAAAATTGTGTTCAGCAATTTGGGGCCATGGGTACATTATACAAATGACAACCAAATACCAATATTTAATTAGTGAAGCCCAAGAGTTGGCAGTGAGTGTTGTTGACTAGTTACCTTCCCTCTAGTCTATCAGTTCCAAATCAGGGATGGCTAGTGCAGATACCCTTGTGCAGATTTGCGTGAATATCCAAACAAAACAAACACACAATGTTAAAGAAAATATGAAAGGATATTTTCACTGGTATAGCCAGACAAAACAAGTAAGATTGACTAATTTATCAAAACAACTTCAGAAAGGAAATACATAAAAAGAATATGAACTAAATTTTCCCATTTCATAATTCTTTTACATCTTTTTTTATAACTATTTACTCACCACCACCATGAATGTAGAAACCCTGGAGGCTCTCCTAATGTTATGTTTTTTTCCCATCTTATCTAAAAAAAAAAGAAATAAGAAACAGTCAAACTGAAAAATGATACATAAAACTGTTATGTCTCATCACTTTAATCAAAGTATCTTGTATAAGTCTAGTATCTTAACATTTTAAACAGAAAAAAAATGTGAAAAAATAAGCATTAAAGGTATTGCCTTTCTTTGTTTTTCTTGAAATTTTTTTTAATAAGCTATGTTTCATTGCACTATTTAAAATCCAAACATAAACTTGAAAAAAGTCACAAATTCCAATTACCAAGTATGAAATAGTCCCAGTGGAATCTTAACTAAGTTTTGCTCAACTACAGATAGGGGTTATACTGAACTAACACAATACTGTTTTAAAAGCAGTTATTTTATATGATAGGTTGCTTTTTAAAATCTCCAAGTGTATCAAAGAATAAAATAATTATACATACTGCTTCAACTGAAGAGTTAATGGCCTTTACATATAGGTAATTGCAATATAAAATAAAAACTATTAACATCGTTTTTGCATAATTATAGTGACAGAACATTAATGACAAACTATTCTGTGATACTACTGTAAACAAAAAATATCAATATAACAACATTTATTTATTAGTATGCTTAGCATTTTAAATTAAAGCACCTTAAGTTCAATGTTAATTTTTAAATTGAAATAATACGCCTGTGTTTTAATTTATATCACACTGAGCTGATTTATTTGATACGTTATTTTACATTATAAATATAATATAAAAAGTAGCTATAATTACAATTTATTGAAACAATTAAGGTAGTTGATATTACATTTATGAATTAAATATCTGTCTTATTTCTCAGTATACAGATTATTTATATATTTCATTTTATATTTTATTTAATTTTTATACTTATATAAAACGTTTTGTATTTTACCGCATAATCTCTAACAAAAACACATACACACAAATGCAGGATACAGTACACATATAATTGTAACTTTGCTAAGCCTAATTTTAAGTGTTACATGTGCCGTACATTGCAGCGGCCTTCATTCACATGGAAGCGCCCGTGCATACCAGAAGTACCTACTTGATAACACTGCCCTATTTACAAATAGTAATATACGCAATATAAACGATAAATTTACCTCAGACAGGAAAGTCTGTGCTGCCTTCTGTGCTCCGACATGTAGCAAATATTCATAAACATAAAGAGCTAATCTGTAAAAGAAAGAAAAAAGAGAATCGAAAATAAATAAGACACCACATATCTTCAGACCCCCTCCTCTTGGTCAAACATGGAACGTGCCATGCCATATGCCTCGGGCTGAAAGTACTGCCTGTTGTTCTTTCGCAAATGAATTTTGTTTTTAAGTTATGATTTAACTGTAACCTGATTTTAATTTTGGTAGTTATGTATACTCGCATCTTTTCTGACCTAAATGCACATATAAAATATTACAAAAGCTGACGTGTAACCAAATGAAGTTTACTGATTATAATAGCAATCTTTTATACAAAACGTATATATATATATATATACTTCTGTTGATCTTAGTTTAGAAACTTAATTTCACTTGTTCTAGTACTACCACCTTTACACAATTCTAAATTTTCTCTGATAGTTGAAAGACTTACAGTTCCTACTCTTGCTCTACAGCATACTCAATGTTAAGTGATGTCAATATTCTTAATCATCTGAACATCAAACTTACTTTTCTCTTGCCTGAGCATCGGATGGCACCGTTGAGCCTTTTCCCTTCGCGTACATGCTGTGAGGCTGAACTGTCACGCACCTGTCAAGACATATACGACGATACCGACCTTGTTACCATAGAAACGTCAATTGATCTGTCAGAGGCAGTAACGTGATTGGACTTACTGTCTGCCTCGTGCTGAATACCCCGGTCCCTTTTGCTACGTCACAGCGGAGTGAAACTCAAAATTGTTGGCAGTATACTTCAGCCTATAGTGTGGAAAGAGAGCCATCCCGAAACTACGTTACAGATCAAGCACATTACGCAATCGGCCCGTGTTTACTTTGACAATGGCAAATGTGCGAATAGAAAATACTTAACGAGAAATTTTATGTCATAACTCGATTATAACTCTTTGCACACTTTTAAAGTTGAACGCCAAAGACGTATAACGGTTGCATTTGAAAAAACAAAACAACATTCGTAGAGAACTGTTTTAATTAGCTCCAAATGCACTAAGCAGAGTAGCTCGAAACAATTTTTATTTTTCAGTTTGTGAAGTCGAAAAATCAGTAAGATAACTGGTCGTATATCTTTTAAGTACAATGACTAGATTGAAATAGTCAGATAATTTTCTCCCACAGTGAGCTTTAAAAATCTTAAATATAAATATTTAGAATAAATGTTCTTACTCCATTTGAACTTTACATCCAAAATTGTTTGCGTGTATCGAGTATTTTGTTTTTAATTAGAGCTTCTAATTTTCTTATTTTTTTCTTCTTACACTTGATATGCCCTCGATCATGTAGATTTGTTTTTTTCTTCGGGGTAAGGTATTAACTCAAAAGTAAACAATCATTGCAAAATTATTTACTCATTAATACCACATATTATTCATTAGAGTTTTCGTCGGAGGGATATAATTTAAGGTTTTCAATCACACATAAAAAAAAAGTACAAAATGTTTCTTGCTACGAATGAATAGCTGCTTAAACTGCATATCAAGTATATATATTTTTTTTTCAAATAAATGTTACAAAAAGGAACTTAATTTCATGGTGTATGAAAAATGATCAATAGGACCTTTTCACTGCAGACAGTGTGTTGACGTATTATTGCAAAACATCAGATATTTCAGAATTTATATACATTCAAACAAATACCTAGATAAAAGCAGATGCACACTTGGAAAAGACTTTACTATAATGGCCAATATTTTCCTTTGTCTCTCCTCCGATATTGCCCCCCCCCCCCAGTGGCCCAGCGCTAGAATCGGAGTTTTGATACCCATGGTGGGCAGAGCAGAGATAGCCCTTTCTGTAGCTTTGTGCTTAACTACAAACAAACAAACCTCCGAAATTGGTTTTCACGGGATTACATATTTGTCAAGCACTAAAGTTCTACCATAGGCAACATATTTCATGTTCGATCTCAACGTCGAAAGCAGCAACTTTATATATATATAATCAAAATCAAGCAATGCCAATCTGTTTATAAGTTGAAGAAAATTCCTGAAATTTACACACGCGTATCCAGGAAGCACAAAATTAAATGTTTTATTTCTATATATACTTGCTCTATCTCTATAAGATAATTATGTCTAGAGCAACAAATCAAAAGCTATTTTAAAGTTTGAATGATATACGGGTTTTAGATTCAAGATTTGTTTGTCACTGATTATCAGTCAGATACTCTGTTTATTAAATCCCCTTTAGATAAAAGTTAGATTAAGCCCTTTTTATTATCATCTTATCTTTCCTATGATTACATTTTTATTAGTTGTAGAATAATTTTTAGTAACCAGCCGGAAATACCAGTATTATCCTTCATATAGAGAATTACTCATTCGTTATAAGGAAGATTTGTATATACTTATACAATGATGTGTCACAGTATATGCGAACTATGGGGCCACCCTGGACGCCATATTTGAGATATATGAAAATTTGGTTCGTGGTGAATTTCCTACCATTTAGCCGTGTAGCGTAGATTTACTTTCCGCGAAAGAATATTCTTATAGCAAGACTGTTAAACGACGTAGAACTGAGGGACACAACACTTCAAAGAAGAGCGCCTTCAGTGTTCACCGTCAAAAGGAACAACTCGTACAGTTGTAATTAATTTCAACATAAATAAGAGAAGAAATGTCCAAACACACACACATATTATCAATTTAAAGTAATAATAGCGGTTTTCCTCGAGCCGCCTCCTCGAATTTAAAATAAAAATCACAAAAAGTTATCAGTAGTTTGATTGTAGTAGTTTGCTAAACTATTATTAAGAAATTTTTATCAAAACATTAGAGTAACTAAACATCAATAAAGAGGAAGCAATAATATAAGAATTAAAGTATATATGTCATCTTACTCCACTACATTGTACTCCGGGATGCCATTGTTGTTTAGAAAATTGTAAAATTATTGTAACGTCTCTGTTCGTTAGTTAATTTTCCTTAAATTCGTTCCGACGAAACTTTAGCGACACATTTCCTTTCTTAAATAAAACTGGTTTATTCTTTCTGAATATAACTTTGCGATACACTTAATTTCAACAGTCGCGCTCAACTTCAATAATACTCAGTTCAATTACACACTCTCTGACTGCAGTTCAATTACTCATTGTTCCGTCACGTTGTGATCATCTTATATATATATACCATACTACCCCCAATCTAGTAGTCTCCCGATAATTCACGAAGGCTGGAGAAGTACGTGGCGTGATACTAGTCACGTGACCTCGCTGACGCAACATTATTATAAAGCGAACATATACATTCACATATGTTCTATATAGTGGTTTCTATAGTTTACACTAAATAAATTTCATCAAAAACTTGTTCAAAAAAGCATTCCTTTCTTAGAGTAACGCTGTGAAATGTATCCAATTTGTTCAAACAACATTCATAAAAAGAAATGAAGTTTATAAGTGTATTTGTAAATAGTAACGTTTGTGATTTAAATTAATGTTTCACTTCATATAAAAGAGTTTGCTTATACATAACCTTGAAAAATTCATAAATAAAGAAATCAATTTGTTTATTCAACTTATGCAGACTTTGCTGAGACCGTATAATGGAAAGGATTTTTAGGTTACTCAGAGGCACATCTAAAGAAGTAAGATCTACTTATATTGAAATACATTAATGCATTGGCTTATCTTTCTCTTTAACATATCATACATATCCTCAAATTTACTAACAAGCTTGACTTGAATAAGTTAATGATCAAGTTAAGAGCTCTGAGTAACCAAGAATTCATAGCAAAGTCCAAAATCAACTTTATTAAAACTACAGAATGTATATTGGGTCATTTTGATTATATTTCGCATTCGTTGGTTTGTTTTCTTGTTAAGCACAAAACCACACAATGGACGCTCTATGCTGTGCCCACCACGTGTATAAAAAACCTGGATTTTAGCATTATAAACCTCCAAACTTACTGCTGAGGTACTGGGGGCATTTTGTATTCAAATGGGAATATCGCTGGTACTGTTCATCAGTTTACCCCTGATTACCTGAAGGCAGCCAATGACCTATTGAAAGGACAAGTAAGGTGGTTCTAATAGTGAGAAGTCTGAGTGTTGTGTGTGTGTGGTTATGTGATGTGACTAGGCAATGAAAAAATAAAAGATGTGTATGCGAAAAATTTATTTGACAGGATCAATAGTGCGATGTTTGTTTATGGCAAAGCTAATAAGGCTATCTGCCACTGTCCCTTAAATTTGGACTACCCACCATAGGGAAGACAAACGGTCGGTAGCACTTACCATCAACTAACAGTGAGATTGATCATCATATTATACCAATCCCACAGCTGAAAGGGCGAAAAATTCGTCGCCAGGTTTCGATCCTGCGATCCTTAGATTGCAAGTTGAGAACAACTAATCCATTCAAACGTATAGGTTTTCATCGAACAACAACCTTGTAACAACGTCGGTAGTGTGTTTTTGAAAATAAAAATATGAAGTACTCTGAAGAATTGCCTTTTTAAAAATATATTTTTAGGGTATATTGGATATGAGATAACATAGGAGCTACTAGATAATATGAGTACCATAAAGTACAAAAACTTCAAGTGTTATGATGTAGAAACATTTAATAAATAAGCATATTTTAAACTCTACAAACCTTTACAGATAGTGAGATTCTGAACTTTGGATTGTCAGATGGTTAACAGACTTGTTAAGATATAAAACCTTATGATATATTAGAACAATTACGTTTGTTTGCACAGTAATAGTTCATAAGCTTGGTCATCACAAAAATTCTTCGAATTTCCGATTAGCAAAATTTCGTATTCTGTTTCCAAACAATTTCGGTATCAATTAGGCTGATTCTCATACTGGTTACTTTAATTTTTATAAAGCCCCCCCCTCCCCCAAGTGGCACAGTAGTATGTCTGAGGACTTACAACTTTAGAAACCAGGTTTCGATACCCGTGGTGGGAAGAGCCCATTGAGTAGCTTTGTGCTTAATTACAACCAAACGTTATTTTACATTAAATAGTAATGTTAACCAAACAATAATTAACTCATTAAATTATATAGCCTAAAGAGATAAGACAAAATTCTAACTTGAGAAGGTAGAAATTATTTTTGTACAATAACTAATGTAAAAATACAAGACTATAAATATTCAATCTGGTTCAGTCACAAACTGTAAGTATTAAGCACATGATCACTCTGTTAAACAAACCTAAAACATAAAGTTATGAAAGAAAGAAAGAAATACTAATTTTACATAAAACACAATAAATAAAAATCTGAATATTAATAACAGTATAACTGCCGCCGATTAGTATGATATAGTTGTCCAGTGTTTATTATTAGGCTTACGCTTTAGAAGCACCGTTATAGTTTCTGTACATAGTTATGTCTCTCTATCTGCTTGTTCATGCAAAGACATGGATGTGAGGTTGGGCTAGCTTCAAATAGCTTCACTGTCTATGACCAGGAAATCTCTGTGCACTAATTGACACTTACTACATCTGAGGTTGATCTTCCACTGATGATAAGGAGGGAAGTCACTGTACCACTAAAAACTGAAATACTCATACCAGCTGTTAATACAAAATTCTGAACTTCTCTCCTTTCGACGTTTTATATGGATCAAATGGTTTTCAACATTGGATCTAATTGGCAAAGTCAAGTTGATAAGGTAAGTTGAAAGAAGAAAGTTTTTACTGCGTGAAATGGATTGTTGC